CTCTCAATCACATCATCCCCCAGCCTGCAAGCCATACTAGCTAAGCTCAATAGCTAGTCTTCCACTTCCGTAAAATGGGAAGAAGATACGGTATGTAACATTAAAGAAAAATTTTAAAAAAACAAAACAAAACAAAACACCAATGGTATGTAACATTAAAGAAAAATTTAAAAAAAAAAAAAACAAAACACCAACAGATCACAGTTGACTGCCTGCTGTTCACCAGAAAGTCTGCGTAACAGAAAATTCTCAGCTAATCTAAAATTAGCGTTCCTGAGATCTGCATGTTTAAACAACGCAATTGCACTAAACACAGACAATGTTACAGCTTTCAATGAGAAACAATTCTTTCTATCACGCTGTTCCATAATACCTTTTGTTGAAATAGTGACAGGAACTATTTCATTCTTCAATATTCCTGAATCCCAGGCTGTTTTGCTCTTAGTGTAAGAGCCGATGGCGTAAGTGTCTTGTTCCTCTCGTGAAATAGTAAACTTCTTCGCAGTATTCTCAGCACAGTTACCCTTGGAGAAAAGCAGGCAAGTTAGGTTTGGTATTTCTGGAGATGTGAACTGGAAATGTAGCTGAAAACACTCAACCAGCAGATTTCCAGAAGCGAATGCGACTATTATTTTGTCTCTGTTTCTAATTTACACAATCACGATCCAACAGTAACTTCTGCTTTCGGAATATGAATTTCAAATGTAGCCAACATGTTTATTAAAGCCATCAAGGAACATTCACTACAAGGCTTTCTTTTAAGTTAAAAAACTGCATGCAAAAGTAAGTTTTAAAGTGCTTAGGGTTGATGTCTTCAGAGACCAAAGATCACTGTTCAGCCACTGAACAGTATGTCCACATTATCTTACTAGTGTTTTCATTCTGTTCTTAGCTTGGCTGTTCCAAAGGTTACAAGAACAGGCCAACACACAGGGCTTACTTAGCCTTCGGGACCCGATACTCTAAATGCCTGTACAAATAAAAGTACGTGTACCTTTTGTCTAATAATTGGAATGAAATAAGTAAAATGAAAAAAATCAAATCGTTTTATAATATAGGTCAATCATAATCATACTTCTACAATCATAATTCATTACCGACACTGTCTAAATACCTGGTGACAAAATAATAAAAAAAAGGATATTCATTTAGTCAACCTGAAAGATTTGTTCTTAAACAGGTTTTGTTCCACCTCTCATTTCTGTAGAAAACTCAATGAATCAACACAAAACCCTTTAGTACCATATTCCTCCAGTTCTTGAAACAAGCAAGTGCACGTCTGTGCAGTTAAAGAATTTAAAGTCTTCGTAGCACCAGCAACTTAGTCTATTGCCAAAACATAGACAAGGGTAAGTTCCTACAGCCATCAGATGGGTCTTCCTGTATATTCTCACACAGACTCTTCACGTTTTCCAAGCAATCTATAGCTGCTATAATGAAGACAAAAGGTTCCGAAGTATTGTCCCAATCTATTAAAACTTTGTGTATTATAACCAACTCCTAGAGCTTTGCCCCACATACAGGAACTAGCAAAGCCACTGTTTACATTCTTGTAAAAATCTTCACGATCAAAATCCGTTTTAGCTGAAATGTGGGAGTGGATTTCAACCAGTAGCCTAAGCAGAGTGTGCTATACTGCCAAAAGAATAAATCACACACAGAAGCAGTGAGGTCTGTATCAAATATATGGATCACGGTAAAATATTCTTCAGGACATGTCCTGTACAGCAGCAAGAACACTAACTGATCAATCAATAATGCCCATAGGCAAAAGTCAAAAATATTTGTAAACTAAAAGTAGTCATTCTCTTTTCAATCCATTCTTCCCTGATGCTTTTTCTTCACTATAGTTCTATCCGTCATTTTCCAAACCCATCCTAAGTTTGCAGTTGTTTGTTCAATTTAAGTGACCACGCTGATAAGCAAGCGTATCAGCTGACTGAAACCTTCCAACAGAAGATACAAGATACGTACATTGGGGGAGAGCAAACAACCATGACAGACCGCTGTGCCCTACAGAGGGGGTACCCTCAAAGACACTGAGTGACTTGATTGCTGTCTCCCGCAGAGAGAACACCAGCAATCTATCAGTGGCAGAATTTGTTTGGTTTTTTTTTTTTCCAATCCCTGCTCTAGGCTATTTCTACTTCAATCAGAGAAGTAAATATTAACACACATTTTTCTATTCTGTTTTGGTCTTCTGTCTCGCTCCTCCACTACTGTTACTACAGGACGCCTGGAAATGCAAGACTTTTTCCTCCTCCGTTAACGTTATTCCTCGTTTCTAGGTTTCCTAGATGAAGCAGTTTCATCATAATTATAAGCAAGCTCTTCAAAGCTGCATCAGGTCTACAGTTGATACTTTAGTTCTATGCAGGAATATTTACCATATGGATATGGTTATAAACATCTGTAAGCCCATACTACAGGAAGCCTGGAAATGCAAGACTTTCCTCCTCCATTAACGTTATTCCTCGTTTCTAGGTTTCCTAGATGAAGCAGTTTCATCATAATTATAAGCAAGCTCTTCAAAGCTGCATCAGGTCTACAGTTGATACTTTAGTTCTATGCAGGAATATTTACCATATGGATATGGTTATAAACATCTGTAAGCCCATCTTTTACTATCAGGTCTTCCAGCTTTACTCCTCCATAAGGCGTTGATCCTCTGCTCATTGTATAGGGGACATTAGACATGCTCTCCATTCCACCAGCAACCATTACATCCTGCTCAAAGGAAACAAGTTAAAATTATTAGAAATGCAGTGTGTTCTCTACAACTTCTTGTAGGAACAAATATTAGCAAAAGCTTAAGCGTTTCATAGTTCTGAGGAGTCTTGGAGAAAGAAGAAAAAAAACCTTTATGCATTTAAAAAGCAAACAACAGGGACAACAGCTGAAGACAGTTAATCCACGCTGACAGAACAACTGGACTTTTGTCTCATATGTAATTTTAGAAAGCTGCAAGAGCTCTGTCAGTCCCTTGCGCTTTTTCTTCAAAAGCTTCCAAGATAAAATTATAAATTTTACTTTAAGCAGTTTATTCTTCCGTAAATTTCTCTTTTTTTTTTTTTTGGTTCATTAGCAGCTTCATATCCCTACAGAACAAGCAAGTCTGAATCTAGAAGACCAATAAGAAGAAACAGAGATGTACAACTACCTACAGTTTTACATAATACTGTTACATCTCACTATGTAAAGAGAGCTGACTTACAATACGGTTTTATCATCTGAAAAAAGGAGACATTAATAGTTAATGATCACTGAACTTGAATTAAGCTAAATCGTTATGGGCATTTATATATTAGTACACTTTTCAAGCTGAGACAAAGCAAATAAACAAACAAAACTACTAACAGCAAAGCTGTAAGGACTAGATGTATACCTACTGTCCATCAGGCTATACCCCAAAAATCCCTAGGAGCTCAGGATGTGAAGAACAGGCACAGTTGCATTTAATGGCATATTTGAAATATGGCTAAGTGCAAGAAAAATACAAACACAGCACTGCAAGTGTTTGAGAGTTCAGTAGTGCTGTTAATATAAATACAAAAAATGGATTTTACATCAAAAAAGCAGTAAGAAAGAAAAAGGTGAAAACTTTTTTTGTTTCTTTTAATTAAGACTCGGAGAAGTAATGGTTTGGTTCAGAACAGATTATAAACTACATCCAGGAATAGTGACATGAAGTAATAAAGAAAAGAAAGAAGGCAGGCCGATAAATTGGAAAGGCAGCTGAGATATGGAAGCAGCAGCAGATCAGTGGAACAAGAGTCTCTGGCATTTCAGTTCCATAAAGCGAAAGACTTGGAGACAGGGGTGATAAAATCGTTTATAGGATGACGTTCACTGACTCAAGCCACTGGGAACTATCACTGACTTCCATACCACAGATACCTCACAGTCTGCAGCTGGGAAAAACAAATACCAACCCCCCCCGCAATTTATAGCTCGAAGAGACTAATAACTGGCTGAGTCTCTGCTTTTGCTGAGACTGGCAGCACAGCATGTATGATTAGCTCAGCTGAAAACTCCAGCTCTCTTCAGAGCTCATGGCCAACCAAAAGCACAACCGCTCTCACAAAGTCATTGGGTGTAAATTACTAAATCCAAACGTAGCTGTTTACATAGCCATGCTGGGCCTGGTTCAAAGTCCAGTGCCAAGACTTCCACCAACTTCGGCAGGCACTGGCCAATGTGCTGCTCTCTGTAGAGCAAGGCCAACGCAATAAGTAGCTGCTTAACTCGGCTATACTGTTATTTTCATGGAAGGGACAACAAAACTTAAATATTTTACTTTTGTTCTAAACAAACAAACAAAGAGAACAGTAAGTACATTTCTCACTTATGATCCACTTTGTAAACCAAAATATATATATATTGAACTGACAATATTTTCACTTCAGAGAAGGGGAGACGTTGCCAAAATGCTTTTGAGTATGGAATTAAAAACAAAGTTGAAATGTCTTTCTTCACTTTCACACGTCTCCCAAATTCTTTGCTGCATAGCATTTAACAGCTTGCTGAAGATGGTGTATTCTCCCTTCCTTCCATTAAGTGATACTATTTTTCCCCATTGTATAGAGAATCTTAGAACATGGCTGACAGAGGTGACCAATTCCCCTCCATCAAGCTCTCTTCAGTGAAAACGCTTATTTTCAGCGACAATAGATTCCGCTTCTTCTAAAACGATAAAAAAAGCCTGAAATATCTTTAATATATTTGGAAACAGCATTGCTTTAACAAGTATATTTAATTTACTTAAGTGTTTAAAGTGTCTGAAAGTCAAGATTAAATGTGTTTCATCAAAAACTAAGTCTATAAAAATTTATTCAATTTTTCAAACCAGAAAGCTTGAAAATTCCCTTAATTATTTTTTGGGGGTTGGGCAGGAGAAGAGCAGTAGGGAGATGATGTAAATATCAGAAAAAAAAAAAAAAAAAAAAATTCAACCTCATTTGCTCAGCTCTAAAAATACATCTGACAATTTCCTAACTATAATACTTACCCTTTTTTTCTGTTTTAAACCAAAACACACTTCAGTCACTATAAAATTACGGTTGCAGAAGCAAAACAAAACCTTGCTAATTAGCTTTATTATCCCAAGTCAAAACACAGTCGCAAATCAAAGAGCACAGTCCTTAGTAAGGCAGGATTTACAACATTAGTTGTGTGCTTCTTCCATAAAACGGCACTAAAATCCACATACCTGACTCCCACACATCAGGCTTTGTGCTGCCATCATGATCGATTTCATTCCTGAAGCACAGACTTTATTGACAGTTGTAGTAGGAGTGCAGACTGGCAGACCTGAATCAAAAAAATTGTACAAAAAACTGTATTATCTAAAGGGTAGACTAACATTTTCTTGGTGTCCGAGCAATATTTCATATGGGATCAATTTTTCTCTAAGGCCAGGGTGTCCAACTTGCCCTATTTAGCCTACCAGGGCAACTTATCTACCCTCACCCCTAGTTACTGTCCTTCTTGGAGACTCTTGTTGTTTCTCCCTTTCCAGCAACAGACTCATGGTAAGGGAGCAAGTAAGTGAAGAATCAGAGAGACAGAAGATCAGGGAAGCGACTCCAGAACGGTTCCTCCTCCTCCTGACACCCTAGGCTTGCCACTAAGAAACATTCAAGACTGAAAAGGCATAAACGAGCTGTAGAATTTAACAGCTGGCAACAAGACAAGACCCCAGAAGTATAAGGACTCTATGCACACACAATACTGAACAAGACCAAAAGTGCTAGGTGTCAGTGTCGCTCACACAGTTGTTACCGCGTTATTATTGTTCATTACAATAGCTTTGGGCTCTGCTGTGTGCAGCTTGGCTCAGGACCATTGCATGACTGCCTCTACCCTAGGCTTGCTCTCTAGTACCAGCACATCACCTCCATACCAGCAGTGAGATGGGGAAACTAGCCAGGGGAAAGAAAGGAGCCGTATGCATCCCTTTGCCTCACATGGAAGCAGTTCCTTCTCTTTCAAAAAAGTACAGGGACAGAGCCAAGAAAGTATCCAGTTCTTCCATGACCCACAGACTTTCCTAGAGTCATGCTAAGGTATGGAATCCCATCCCCACAGGAAAAAGGAAAAGAAAATAATTCCTGCACCCCAATAACACTCATGCTGAAGTTAACACTAGAGAGTGAATCCTTCCAGCGACAGTCCCAGACTCCACGGGAAGATGAGTGTAATGACATACTCTGCAGTTCAAGGAAACTCGCTGATCCCTTATCCAATAAGGCTTAAGAGCAATGATACACTGAAGAAAAAAGGTCTGTTTCACGACAGATTCAAAGAGCAGCATCCACCATTAGCATAAAGTGCTCTGGAAGTAGCAGCCTGGTCCCCAATATCGTCTTCTCCAGGTTCTGCAAACACCGTAGGCAGTAACGTCCATGTGCATATGAAAACTGATTCCTCGGGATGTACACTTAGGCCCCCTTACAGGAGTACAACATCCACCCTTCACCCACCACAGGGAAAAAAGCATACGCAGACTGTCCTGACAAAAGGCTGGGCTCCACTCTGCTTTCACTCATAGCTCAATAATCTACATAAAGACAACAAACCTTCAACTCCAGTAGCAAGAGAATGAATACCTGCACCCAAGACTGCTTGTCTTGCTGGAGCTTGTCCTTGTCCAGCCTGCAAGACGTTACCCATATATGCTTCTTTCACTTCTTCTGGAGGGATACCTATAAAACAAAATAGGCTTTATTCAGGATTCTCTGCAGGGAAGATGTAACTCCCTTTTACAAGCCCTCCCATTGAAGTTTTCTATCAAAGCCTGATGAAACATGCCATGTCCAACCTGTGTGCTAACAGCACACAGGGCCCTGTCGGGTGCATCCCAGATCTCTGCCCTCATCTTCGTGGAACGCGGTGAACTGGTGAACCCTCCAGAAAAGAGTTTCCTTGTTACCCTGCAGAGCAAGCTACGGTTAGCTAACCAAGGCAATCGTTTCCATGTCTCACTAGTCACCCCAGAAGCTCAATCTCCATGGATGGTTAAACGCACAAAACTTTCTACCTGTCACAATTATGTCTAAAGAAACAGTTTTGTTTCTCTGTTTAACAGGGGTGAGCCAAGGCCACAGCTAGCTGCCACCAGATAGAGGAGGCCTGCTCTCCTGCCGCATCGCTTGCAACAGCCCTAGTGTTCAAGTTCTTGCAATATGCTGTTTCAAGAAGGCAAATTTGTAGAGAATTAACTCTCCTCTCCCCCAAAAAGACTTTTTTGATAATTGGAATACATCAATAGACTCACAAGGGTGTCCTAGAAGCATAAATGCCTACGGGAAAAAAAATGGGTAGGGACCACTGATTTCAGCAACCAGTAGCCTTTGCATCAGCGTAGGTGTGTCATAAAACCCCACCCCAGAAAAACAATTAGCATGTTCAATCAGATCTGGATTAGCTCAGACATCCCTAAGTAATACTCTGCTCCTAGAAGCAGCACTTAATTCAGACTGAAACAAAGCCCAACAGTCAACTCTACTTAAGTATCATTTGTAGATAAAGACTTGAGTGCCACAGGAGCAAAAAAACCCAGGACCTTCTGTTTACCAAGCAATTTAAAAGACACAGACCGATACTGTTCTGAGCCACCTGAAGTTTTCTTTGTCACAGAAAAAATATTTACATTTACCTGCTCTGTCAATTGCTCCCTTAATTGCAATGGAACCAAGTTTAGTGGCCGGCAATGATGAAAGAGATCCTTGGAAAGATCCAATTGGTGTCCTTACAGCGCTTGCTATCACCACCTCCTAAAAGGAGAAGCATGGAGTAAAAGTCACAGTCTCGCACACATATACCAGTATTTCTCAAATTTATCCACTTTTTCATTGCTGTCACAGCTTCCCTTTTATCCTGCAAGTGTTTCAGAGCACTACAAAAATCTTTATTAACGCACGCAGCGTGGGGAATAAACATAAGGAGATCAGTGTGCAACTGCAGGACTACAAACTTGGGATCGTGGAGCCGTGGCGGGATGGCTCCCATGGCTCGAGTGCTGCTGTGCAGGGACAGGGTCTTTAGAAAGGACAGGATGACAGGCCAAGAAGACAAGGCGAGGGGATGTGACAGAACAAGAATAAATGTAATAAATAAAGACTGTGACAGAACAGCTGGAGTGCATTGAGCTCAGCCTTGGGATGGATGATGCCTGCAAGAGTCTCAAAGGTCCTGGAGTGAAAGGAACGTCGAAGCAAGCTGGTTAATGTTCAAGGATTAGCCCCAATAAGCAGTAAGTCAGATAAAAATGCCAGGAGGTCTGCATGGATGACCAAAACTCATACACAAAAAGGAAGCATACAGAAGGTGGAAGTAGGGACAGGGAATCTGGCAGATGCTGTCCAAGCATGCAGGGACAAGGTTACAAAAGTCAAAGTCCAACTGGAATTGAATCTGGCAAGGGATGTCAAACGCAACAAGTAGGGCTTCCATAAGCACCTAGGAAGCAAAAAGAAGTCTAGGGAAAATGTGGGCCTGCTGCTGAATGGGGCAGGGGATCTGGTGACACAGTACATGGGAAAGGCTGAGGTCCTGAATGCCTTCTTCACCTCGGTCTTCACTTCTAAGACCAGCCTTCAGGAATCCCAGGCCCCAGTGGTCAGACGGAAGGCTGGAGTAAGGAAGATGTACCCTTGGTGGAAGAGGGTCAGGTTAGGAAATGTTTAAGCAAACCAGGCATACGTAAATCCATGGGCTCGGCTCAGAGGTACCCACGAGTGCCGAGGGAGGTGGTCGATGTCTTTGTAAGGTCACTCAATAATCTTGGAGTGGTCACAGCAATTGAAAGAGGTACCCAAGGACTAGAGAAAAGCAAGCGTCACTCCTACCTTCAAGAAGGAGGACCCAGGGAACTACAGGCCAGTCAGCCTCACCTCAATCCCTGGGAAGGTGATGAAACAACTAATCCTGGAAACCATTCCCAGGAACGTGAACAAGAAGCGTTGTTCCCTAGGGGTCAATACTGGGTCCAGTCCTGTGTTTAAGATCTTCATTAATGATCTGGATGAAGGGGCAAAGCACCCCATCTGCAGGGGTTTGCTGGTGTCACCAAACTGGCAGGAGCGGTGAATGCCAGAGGGTCATGCTGCCATCGAGAGGGACCTCAACAGGCTGGAGAAATGGCCTGACAGAAGCCTCATGAAGTTCATCAAGGAGCAGTGCAAAGTCCTGCACCTGAGGAGGAACAATCCCAGGCACGAGGACATGCTGGGGGACACCTAGCTGGAAAGCAGCTTGGTAGGAAAGGACCTGGGGGTCCTGGCGGACGCTAAACTGAACATGAGCCAGCAATGGGCCCTTGCGGCAAAGAAGGTTGATTGTATCCTGGGTTGCATCAGGCAAAGCACTGCCAGCCAGTCAAAGGAGCTGATCCTTCCCCTCTACTCAGCCCTGGGGAGGCCACATCTGGAGTCATCTGTCCAGTGCTGGGCTCCCCAGTACAAGAGTGACACGGACATACTGGAAAAAGTCCAACAAAGGGCCACAAGGGACCGGAGCACTGGGCATACAAGGAAAGGCTGAGAGAGCTGGGACTGTTCAGCCTGGAGCAGAAAAGGCTCAGGAACACCTCATCCATGCATACTAATACCTGAAGGGAGGGTGCAAAGGGGATGGAGCCATGCTCTTTTCAGTGGTGCCCAGGCACAGGACCAGAGACAATGGGCACAACCTGACACACAGGAGGTTCCCTCTGAACATCAGGAAACACTTTTTTGCAACAAGGGTGACTGAGCACTGGCACAGGTTGCCCAGAGAGGTTTTGCGAGTCTCCATCCTTGGAGATATTCAAAAGCCCAGGTCCCAGCATAAAACGTAAGCAGTAGTTTAAGACATGGTATGACATTCAGCTCTATAGCAAGCAGCCCCTCAAAACAGATTTAATTTGCTTCTTAGCTTTAGTGCTACATCAACGTTCCTACCTGCTAACCCTGTGAGAGTAGCATGAGGACCTGGCATCAAAAAGATGCACGTTTCAGACCTCTGGCTGCCCCAGACAGTTATTGAAAAGAAGCAATGAATACCTCCAACTGTGCTGGTTGCAGTGGAAGGTAGACACAAAGCTTCACAGGGTCTCACCATGAGTTGTTTACTTAGAGAGACAAGCAAAGAAAGAAAACTCTAGAAGAAAATTAAACAAACAAACCAGACAAATTTTACTTGTTTAAAACTAAGGTCTGTCTGTTTCTATAACCCCTTCTTCATCATGATTGACTTCAGTGATAGTAATATACTTGTCCTCATCTCTTTGGCTGTAACAGTAAGTTGCAGGATAACATACAAATAACCTCAAAGGGATTAGTTGGCATCAGCTGCATTTTCCAGTAACAGGTAGGCAGTTGCATTAAGCTTAAGTCAGCTGACACACTTCTAACCAAGTTTGTCCTATACTACCTAACAATTAGCAAACCAAAATAAAAAAGGAAATCTGACTTTTATTCCAGATTTTGCAGTAAAGTGTGACTTGGACATAAGTCACGTTGTCTTCAGTACAGATTTTTTGTGATAACGTTTTAAAAAAACTTCAGTGATTAAGAAACAAAATTTAAAACAGTGATTTATTGCACTCAGATGGTGCTTTATACTTACGTTTAAAGTACGCTGTGATGCATAGCCACGGGTCGTATACTTTAAAGCCTGAAAATAAGGAAGTCCTTAGAATTTCATATCAAGAAAGTGAATGCCATGACATTACAGTAAAGTAACATTTTCAAAGAAGATATTATTTTTTTAAATAATGACTAAGAAACACTGGGAAAAAATCAAATTAAAAATCATAACATGCCTTTTTAAAAAGTGTACTCTAGTACACAGTCTCATCGTAACATCTGTGATAAAATATTTTCTGAAAAATAAACACACATTCCTTTAAAAACAAAACCCGGTTCATTTTGGCCAAGTCTGTTATGTACACATATAACATATGTCTAAACCAGGGAGTGAGTGGTGCTGTCTTGAAAAAGTTTACTGGTCCTTCTGTCTGCTTCTTTGCACTTCGGTTCATTCATTCCTATCATTAACTTCACTGCTTTTTAAACAGTGGTAGTTTGCATCTACAGTTTCATTTCATTGGCATTTCCTAAACAAAAATGAGGATAATGAATTCAGAATGCTACAACAAAAGATGATAATAAAGCAAAACCAAGAAAAAGGTATGACCTGAGCAGGCTAATTCACCAGCTACTAGCTTAATCTAACTAAACAGTATAAAGATACAAAAATACCTCTGTATGTATTGTTTCATACATTAACAGAATGATCTTTCAATTAGTAGTTTAAGGTACTTACTTACCCATTTCCTTAGACAACATCTCAGCAGACTGGAAACTTCTGGTCATTACTGAATTACAGCTAAATAAATACTAATTAAAAATAACTACTTAAGGACACCACAAAAACACCATCAATTTTATAAATCAAAGAGCGCCTTCTGGTATCGTGTCCACAACGTGAAAATTTAGTCTGTTTTTTTCTTCATTTGACAACCTTCAACTAACAAAAGACAGATTTTTACCTACTGTTTTTCCATGAGTTTTTGTTTTCAAGTTGTAATAGTCAGTAGAAAACTTTAAATTAAACTTCTCCCTCAAAATTAATTACATCCCTGCAGGGCTTTAATTACAGGGCTTTCAAGGGTTAGTGTCAAAAAAAACCCTAGCAAAGTAACATGCCCTTACTGGACAACACCTGAAGTTTACCTTTGTAGTAAATTAGACAAACCAGACAATAGTCTTGTAAGCGTAACTAGCATCTGCTAGTAGTGTTCTGTGCTCCGTGTCAACTACAGGTTTGTTTTTTTTTAAACAAAACAAAACATTTCTACAGCTAGTAAAACACAACCTTCAGCTTCGCATATGGCAATAGGGATGCACCCAGCACAGTGCAGGTGCTTTACCTGCCCTTTTCTTCCTAGCACAGCTCTCTGTACCAGTGACAGGATCCCCAGAGCTCCAGCCAAGCCAGGCATCCCCATCGCTAAAGTCCGCAGTGCCTCAACGCAACCATGCACGGAGACTTTTTGGGCAGGAGCACTCAGTATCTCACCTCCGAGCTGTCCCTCTGATGAACCCACCTCATGCACACCATGGCACTACGCCCACCTGATTCCTCTCCTGGCCCTGGCTACAGAAAGCCTTTGGCAGCTGCCACACATCCTTACGGCTGAAGCGGGCGACTGAGAGGTACAGGGGCTCTGCAGGGCAACGAATTACGAAGGAGCGAGCTGAAGAGCC